AGTTTGGTAGTTTTTTTTTTTTGAAGTGATCAAAATAAAAAAACCTCGGCCTCAGGGTTTGGATTTTTTGGGGGGAATGGTATGGTACGTTCGGGAAACCCACTTGGAGACAATACCCCCCCGCTTGTTGAAAGACCCAGCTTCCGGAGGGCCTTGGGGTGAGTTTGGGCCCTTGGGGCCCGAAAGGGTTTGTGGGGATTAAATGATCCGTACGTGAAGGGTGGAGGGGCCCTTTCGGGGCCCCCGGGGGGACCGAGGTTCAAAGGGGGTGGGTGGGGGCCAACCGTAGTTTGTTTTTTGTGTAGGGGCAGCAGTTTTTTTTGGATTTTTTTTGGGTAGAAAGAAAGAAAGAAACCGGCCACCCCAAACGGGGGATAGGGGAGGGGGACAGGGTTTTTTTGTGGGAGTAAGTTTCGCCTGGGGAAACTTTCAGGGCTCCTTAGATGTCCCCCGGGAAGTTCGGAGGAGTTGCCCCCTCCAGTGTTTTTTTGGGGTTGGGACTTGGGCACCTGGGATTTTTTGTTATGCGGGAAACCCCCAAGGGCAAGGCTGGGGAAACGGATTGGGTGCCCCCCCCCCCCCCCCCGAGCGTCCCCCCCCCGCCCGCCCTACGCGCCCGAATCGCCCAAGCACATCGGCCCGCACCCCACAGGGCGAGGACTGTCTCACGCCGATAAGCGAGACTCCAACGCCGGCCAAGAAGGTGGTCCTCAACGGCTCACGTTCCACGGTGAGGGCACGTATGCGTTCGACGTCGAAGGTGGATGCCATGCACGCTGTCGACACCACCGGCCAGGCTCGACTGGCCGATGAAGAGCGACCGGCACCCGTACGACGCGCACTTGTCGTCCTCCCTCCTCGCCACATGACGGCCGCCCCCCGACACCGACAGTCGCGCTCCGCACGCCTTCGAGGTCAGCTGCGGCCGAGCGACGATCGGCTCGCCTCCGATCGCTGGGCGCGGTCACTCTCCGGCCCATCACCCGCCTGCCGATCACCTGTCCGCCTCGCCGCGCGCGGGCCACTCGCCTGCTCGCCACCGCCGCCGCGCGTCCCCGCGCCGCCACGCTTCCCTGTGCACCTGACGGCGCTGCGCAGACGGCGCGCTCTGGCAGACAGAGCAGCGGCCGCCCAGGCGGTCGCTGCTCCGCCCCGTCCGAATCCGTCCGCCCGCGCGTGCTGCTGCCGCCGCCGCCGCCGCTCCACCCGGTGCCCGTGTGTCGTGAGAGTTGCGAAGCTGATGTGCGGATCGCGGAACGCCCTTGCGCCGAGGTCGCATGCTGGGCTTGCCCTAGGGCTTGCCGAAGCGAGGGGCGGCACCACAATGAATGCCAGCATTGCCAGTCGATCCATCCTGTACTCGTCCATCGATCTGACGTTTAGCACCGGGACGCGGTCGGGCGATCTGAGGCCCAACTAGGCGTATGCATTGCCCATCCAGTGCTATCACCTGGACCCATCAACAGGCGCCTGCGGCGCCGTGGTCAGGAGCTGCTGTTCACGCCGGTCCACACTTTCATAGTGGACAGTACAAGTAAGTCACTTGTAGTGAGCGTCGGGCTGGTGGTTCGTGTTGTTCACACCTGGGCAAGCATTCATGCAGCACCAAGTGGCGAGCGCGCCCGTCGGGGAGCGCGGCTACGATGCTCGTGGATCTCAACGACGATATGTTGATGCTCGTGGACCTCCCTGACGATATGTGGAGAGCGATCGCGAAGCAGCTGGCCGAGTCTGACCTCGCTTCCGCAGTCGCCCTCAAACGATGCAGCAGCCGCTTCAAGGACCTTGCCGCCCCGCTGGTGGCAAACGCCGTGGAAAGGACGGACGAGAAGTGGCGGGATGCGGCAGCCGAAATCGGCGGCCGAGGCGCTGCAACGATCACAGGCGGGCTCGAGCGCAACGAGGTGCTGACCGAGCTTGACCTCGCCGGCAACGGCATCGACGACGCGGGCGCCGAGGCGCTGGCCTCCGCTCTGCGCGTCAATGCGGTGCTGACCGACTTGAACCTCCGTCGCAACAACATCCGCGACGAGGGCGCCGCTGCGCTGGCCTCCGCTCTTCGCGTCAACGGGGTGCTGACCACTCTTGACTTGTCGGGCGACCCATACACCAGCGGCGGCGGCATCGGCCCCGAGGGTGCCAGCGCGATCGCAGAGGCCCTTAAGGTCAACGGGGTGCTGAAAGAGCTCAACCTCCGCAACAACAGCATAAGCCCCACCGGCGCCACCGCCCTCGCCGACGCCCTGAAAGTCAACAAGGTCCTGACCTACCTCGTGCTCTGGGAAAACAACATCGGCGACGAGGGCGCCAAGGCGCTAGCAGCCGCTCTTCGCGTCAACGAGGTGCTGAAAATCCTCAACCTCGGCGAAAACTCTATCCGCGCCGAGGGCGCCGCCGCGATCGCCGAGGCGCTGCGCGGCAACAGGGTGCTGACCAACCTAAACCTCGATCGCAACAACAGCGGCGCGGAGGGCGCAGCCGCGACCGCCGAGGCGCTGCGCGGCAACGCGGTGCTGACCAACCTCGTGCTCCGGAGGAACAGCATCGACGACGAGGGTGCCAAGGCGCTAGCATCCGCTCTTCGCGTCAACGGGGTGCTGACCAACCTCGTGCTCCCGCAAAACAACATCGGCGCGGAGGGCGCAGCCGCGATCGCAGAGGCGCTACGCGGCAACGGGGTGCTGACCTCCTTGGATTTGGGCTCGAACGGCCTCACCGAGGAGGCGGCCCTCGGCATCGTCCGCGTCGAGCGGCAGCGCAACAAGCTCACCTCGCTGGGCTTGGCTAGCTGCGGCATCGGCCCGGCTGGCGCCGCAGAGATCGCTGAGTACGTGTCGGGCAGCGCGGTATTGACCGAGTTGTGGCTCGGCGGGAACGAGATCGGCGACGAGGGCGCCGCTGCGCTGGCCTCCGCTCTGCGCGTCAACGGGGTGCTGAAAACACTCTGGCTCTCCGGCAACTTCATCTGGGACGAGGGCGCGGCCGCGATCGCCGAGGCGCTGCAGGGCAACGGGGTGCTGAAAAACATCGACCTTAGCTACAACATCTTGGGCGATGAGGGGGAGAAAGCGATTCACGATGCGGTGAGCGGGCGGGAAGGGTTCGAGCTCGAGATGTGAGGGGTGGAGAGAGTGGACGGCGCAGGGGAGCATGCGGGTAGTTAGACGGGGTTGTCTCCTATATCAGTTGCGTCGAGTTTCCGTTTCTTTTGGATTTTCACGCGCGCTTCGCGAGACGTGCAGACGTTTGTTTGTGTTGGCCCGATGCGGCCGGGGGCGCGAGGCAGCGAATGCTGAGGTGAAGCGTGAAAGAAGAGTTGTGCGTTTATGTGAAAGAAGAATTACGACCGGGGTGTGTGGCGCACACAGGAGCAACCTGTGTGGTGGCGGCGTGCCGTCCTCCCATTGCGACTCGCCGCTTTCCTCCCGCTGTGATTCTGTGTGAGCTCTGTGTCTTGATTTGCCAACAATATACCTACATCCCTCCCTGCGGTTGTCTTTTCTTTCTTTCTCTCAAACGAGGATTGATTGATTGATGGGAAGGCGAAACACAGAAAGGGAGGATTTTTTTCTGTGAGCCCGCGCGATTTCTTCAGGTCAGGTACGTCAGGTATGTCCAATCGTCCGAACCTTCACGACGACCGGTTGCGCTCCCTCCATCTCGGTCACAGCAGCTGGTACGACTACAGACTAAACCAGCCGTATCAGCCTCTACGACCGCTTCCGCCACCTCAGTGGCTGCACCCGGCGTACATGCACCCGGCGTTTCCGCATCCGCAGCAGCTCCCTCCAGGCACTTATCTCCCGCTGGGGCATGCACCGAACCAGCACTGGCCGGCTCCGCCGTTCGGTCAGCCCATGCGACCGCCGCCGCTTGGCGTGCCGCTGCCGCAGCCGCAGCCGCAGCAGCCGCAGCAACCGCAGCAGCCGCCGCTGCCGCCACCGGCTCCCGAGGAGGAGGCGCGGCGCGTGAGCCGCGTCGCGGTGTCGGGGCTCGAGGCGCGTCTCATTGCCGCCTTCCTCGCGGTTGTCCGTCGCCAAAAAACGGCAAAAGTCGGGTGGCTGCAACACTGCTTCCACGGCGACCTCGAGTGGGTCCGTTCTCTCATCCTGCATCCGGAGCTCACCTCCCTCCCGGAGAAGGGCGTCTCGAAAGAGCTCTACAACTCTCACTTCACTCGCCTCCTCCACTCCACCCGCAGAGGCGCGCCTCCCGAGGAGTTCTCCTTCATCGCGATCCGAGATCGGTGATGGGTGCGAGTCTCAATTTAGGCACGCCCACCGCAGCCTACACCTTTAACCGCGGCGCGGAGGCTCCCCCACCAGCAGCGGCTGTCGGTGCCTCCGAGCCGGGCGGCGCGGAGGGCGGCGGCAGCGTGGTGCGGCAGCCGGCCGTGGCAGAGATGCCGCTGCTGGTGGGGGAGGTGCGCTGAGACGAGGTCTAGGCAGGGGTGGTGGGACGGGACGCAAGCCTGCCAGCTCTGCTCGCTGCTACGACTGCTAGGCGCCGCTGGACGACGTCTTCGACCGGATGATTGTGAAGGCGATGGGTGGGGACCAGGCAGTCCAGCCTGAGGCGCTCGATCGCTCTGAGGCGCTCGATCGCGCGCTCGCCTTGCTGGGCGAGCCGTGCGCGGGTGTGCGTGTGTCCGAGTCGTCTCTTGTGTTTGGAGTCGTCGAGTGCAACTCTGCCGAGAGGCGCCGCCGCCCCCTCCTCCGCCGGCGATTCCTCATCAGTCATGAACCGTTGACTATTCATTGCACATGGGCATAGGCTCCCCCTCCTCCTCATCAACGGTTCCACCGGCGGCGCCTACGCGCGCCTCCGAGCCGCCCGCCTGATCTCGGCGCGATCTCGAGCCGCCTCGGGTCAATCTCGGGTCAATCTCGGGTCGGTCTCGGGCCAAGATCTCGGGTCAATCTCGGGTGAGCTCCGCCTCCTCCTCGGCGCGAAGGACGGAGCCGCCAAGGACGTCTTCTCCCTCGTGGACGAGCCGGCCGTCCTCGGCGCGATGCTGCCGCCGGGCTCGCGGCTCGAGCTGCAGGTCGGGTTCGGAGGAGATTGCACGGGAGTGCGCGAGATTGCACGAGACTACACGGCTCGCGGCTCGAGCTGCAGGTCGGGTTCGGAGGAGATTGCACGGGAGTGCGCGAGATTGCACGAGACTACACGGCTCGCGGCTCGAGCTGCAGGTCGGGTTCGGAGGAGATTGCACGGGAGTGCGCGAGATTGCACGAGACTACACGGCTCGCGGCTCGAGCTGCAGGTCGGGTTCGGAGGAGATTGCACGGGAGTGCGCGAGATTGCACGAGACTACACGGCTCGCGGCTCGAGCTGCAGGTCGGGTTCGGAGGAGATTGCACGGGAGTGCGCGAGATTGCACGAGACTACACGGCTCGCGGCTCGAGCTGCAGGTCGGGTTCGGAGGAGATTGCACGGGAGTGCGCGAGATTGCACGAGACTACACGGCTCGCGGCTCGAGCTGCAGGTCGGGTTCGGAGGAGATTGCACGGGAGTGCGCGAGATTGCACGAGACTACACGGCTCGCGGCTCGAGCTGCAGGTCGGGTTCGGAGGAGATTGCACGGGAGTGCGCGAGATTGCACGAGACTACACGGCTCGCGGCTCGAGCTGCAGGTCGGGTTCGGAGGAGATTGCACGGGAGTGCGCGAGATTGCACGAGACTACACGGCTCGCGGCTCGAGCTGCAGGTCGGGTTCGGAGGAGATTGCACGGGAGTGCGCGAGATTGCACGAGACTACACGGCTCGCGGCTCGAGCTGCAGGTCGGGTTCGGAGGAGATTGCACGGGAGTGCGCGAGATTGCACGAGACTACACGGCTCGCGGCTCGAGCTGCAGGTCGGGTTCGGAGGAGATTGCACGGGAGTGCGCGAGATTGCACGAGACTACACGGCTCGCGGCTCGAGCTGCAGGTCGGGTTCGGAGGAGATTGCACGGGAGTGCGCGAGATTGCACGAGACTACACGGCTCGCGGCTCGAGCTGCAGGTCGGGTTCGGAGGAGATTGCACGGGAGTGCGCGAGATTGCACGAGACTACACGGCTCGCGGCTCGAGCTGCAGGTCGGGTTCGGAGGAGATTGCACGGGAGTGCGCGAGATTGCACGAGACTACACGGCTCGCGGCTCGAGCTGCAGGTCGGGTTCGGAGGAGATTGCACGGGAGTGCGCGAGATTGCACGAGACTACACGGCTCGCGGCTCGAGCTGCAGGTCGGGTTCGGAGGAGATTGCACGGGAGTGCGCGAGATTGCACGAGACTACACGGCTCGCGGCTCGAGCTGCAGGTCGGGTTCGGAGGAGATTGCACGGGAGTGCGCGAGATTGCACGAGACTACACGGCTCGCGGCTCGAGCTGCAGGTCGGGTTCGGAGGAGATTGCACGGGAGTGCGCGAGATTGCACGAGACTACACGGCTCGCGGCTCGAGCTGCAGGTCGGGTTCGGAGGAGATTGCACGGGAGTGCGCGAGATTGCACGAGACTACACGGCTCGCGGCTCGAGCTGCAGGTCGGGTTCGGAGGAGATTGCACGGGAGTGCGCGAGATTGCACGAGACTACACGGCTCGCGGCTCGAGCTGCAGGTCGGGTTCGGAGGAGATTGCACGGGAGTGCGCGAGATTGCACGAGACTACACGGCTCGCGGCTCGAGCTGCAGGTCGGGTTCGGAGGAGATTGCACGGGAGTGCGCGAGATTGCACGAGACTACACGGCTCGCGGCTCGAGCTGCAGGTCGGGTTCGGAGGAGATTGCACGGGAGTGCGCGAGATTGCACGAGACTACACGGCTCGCGGCTCGAGCTGCAGGTCGGGTTCGGAGGAGATTGCACGGGAGTGCGCGAGATTGCACGAGACTACACGGCTCGCGGCTCGAGCTGCTAGTCAGGTTCGGAGGAGATTGCACGGGAATGCGCGAGATTGCCCGAGACTACCCGGCTCGCGGCTCCAGCTGCAAGGTCGGGTTCGGAGG